AGATTATTATTAACCTAATATTTAACCCCAAACAATTGCAGTGACTAACCCTTAGTGCCTTTACTTGAAGGTCTTGCAGGAACTTACAAGTGAGGGTCAGCGTGATCATCTCATTTCCATGGTGAGAAAACCAAGGCACTGTGGAAAGTAAAAGGACATTCCTGTTGCTGCGAAGAGAACTGGGATCTTCTACATCAGCTCAGGGCCTACTGAATTGCCCTAGTCTGTGACTATTCCCACTGCATGGAATTAAACATCCATCAGTGTTACATTGCCTCAGAATCTGTCCAGTGATGGTTTGGTTTTTCTCCAGGCTGTACCGAGGTGTTGTGGCATTTTCACCTCTTCATGATAAAAGCCACAGGTCAAATGCTGGTTTTTGAAATCTGGAGCTTTGCAGCATCAAAGGAAAAAACACTTTTAAAAAGGAGGTTATTATATTAGTCTCCCCTTTTCCTCTTTCATCAGTAATTTTATTACAAATTGTAGGACTTTGTCTTGCAGTTTCAAAGCTGCACAGCCACGTGAACTGATTGCTGCAGCCTGTATTTGCAGATGTAACAGAGCTGGGAGCAACTGCTATCGTTCACCAGCAGTGGAGACATACTGGAAATTAAGAAAATCCTGGGTCTGCATTGTATTTCCTGATAAATTCCAATTTCCCTGCCACTATGATGGAAAGCAAGCTGAGATTTGATGAATGAAATTGAGACTCACTGCGAAACAGAGCAACAGCTTTGAAGAGCTGCCAGATTTCAGCAAAGGTGAATAAAAAAGAAATAGACATTTCTGAATAAGCTGCCTTTCCTCTCTTCAAAAACAAATCACTTTCTTGTAAATTATCTTCTCAGGTGAGAATCCATCCTTCACAGAACAGGAGACAGGCTGTGCAGCAGAGCCAGTTGATAGATGTTAAAAGACAAACCACCAAAAGGCAAATGTGTCTTTGGAAAACAGTATTAAGTAATATTTTAAAGAATGGCCACACATCATATTCACACAGATGCCAGCAGGAAGCACAGCTCAGGAAAAGAAAAGCTTTCAGATAATCTCTACCCATTATGAAGGCAAAACCTCAACATCACTGACACATCTTAACTCATTCTCGGCTGTCGCCCTGCTCACATTTGATGCTGCACCGTGAACATGTTTCATACTTCAGCACAGACTTTTATCAAGAGCTTTATTCACTGAAACGTGCAAAATCCATAAAAAAAGCCCACTACCATTAATATTTCATATCTCACATACTTATCATATCCAGGGGACAGTGGTCTAAAGTGGGAATCTCAAAAATGCTCCACGTTGGTCACATGGGGCTGCTGGTACCAGTAGTAAATGTTGAGTATCACCTTGCACAGAGCGATGCAAGTGTTTCTGCAGGCTTGTGTCTCTCACTAGACCAGAATTTAGGCTATTTTGTTTAGGACTGCAATCTGTGGTCACAGACCCCAGGGAGCCTTTCTCATCTAGGTCCTCCAGCTGAAGTCTTCAGCAGTGTAACCAAGTTGGAAAAAAGACACTATGTTGTGGCAGTGTATAAATGTGATTTTGTACAGGATTTGCAAGAGAAAATTCTGAGGGAAGAAAGTATTTTCTTCTTTCCTGTCTACCCTGAGAAAAGGACTCTCTCCTTGTTGTAAAAAATGTCCTTATTTGGATACTTTTCCACCCTTTTACTAAGAAAACCCAACAACACCTGAAGTTGATAGCTATCAGCTGTGTTTGGGTCTTAGCAAGGAACACCTGGATCTGAAACATTAGCAGCAGGTGCCACTAATTGAGTACTTACTGCCTAAACACCTGCTCCCCCCCCCCCCCCAAAAAAAAAGACAAAAAAAGGAGTGCATGTGGTAAAGAAGAAAGAAATGAATCAGTGTAGTTTGAGGGGCAGAAGTGAAATTTCACAAAGGAGATGAACAAATATGCACAGTCAGGTTTGCTAGCACGGATCTTTTCAGTGTAAGTGGTGGCTTCTCTCTCTGGCAGGGCTTGGGCTGAAGAGCAGGATTGCTCTTGAAATAATTCTGTAAAATGCAATGACATTGTGGGAGCCCTCCTGGATGGGGCTGGATATTTAGCTGATATACCACTCAACTCATCATTTTCACAGAGCTTGTGAGGAATTTCAGCTGCAGGAAATGCTGGGGTTGGGATTTAGTTTCTTTTCTCGAGTGTGCTGCTGTGGAGTGGGAAGGGGACAAGGGCTGGTTTGTGGAGCTGGGGGTCTGGGGGGGGGCACAGCCAGACGTGTTTGCCTCCAATTCATGATACCTAAATGCAACTGTCTCCAATTCTCTCCGTAATCAGGAAGATGCTTCTCAGCTGGTGAGCTCAGGTGTGCTGGGTTGGGGTGGAGCAGGCAACCCACAGCCCCAGCAGAATTTAAGTCAGTTTTTGTGCTGAGGAGACACAGGCCGCAACTAAACCTTCAGGGATAATGCTTTTTAACCTTTTCCTCCATATTCCAGGATACTGCCTCAATGGAGCTAGCTCTGCCTTGGTGAGAAATCTTTCTGTGGGGAAGGTGAGGGGCCACGGCTCGGGTTCTGCTGTGGGTGGGTGCCAGTGCACTCAGGGAATGTGTTATAGGTGTTTCAGTTTGTTTTTTGGGTCCTCAAGAGAATGGATGAGAAGGCAGACTTGCTGCCTAGCAGCTCCAGATTTAAATGGATTGAGACACGACAAAGTATAAAGGCAAGGTGTTTTATGGCCAAGAGAAGTGTCTGAGAGCTTTTTATACTTAAAATCAGAGAGGGGCAAACCTACAAGACCCTGTTGATATCAGATCAGAGTGTATGCAGGCCTTCAGAGCAACCACACAGACATTTCTCCCCTCTAAGGCTCATTATCCTAATACTGAGAGCTCCTGGAGATAACGCTGTGCTGGGCATGCAGTAGAGCCTCTGCTCCAGGCACAGGCAGTAAGTGTTGAGGCAAGAAATGACTTTTTCCTGGCATGGCCCACTAAGATTGAACTGGAATGGCAATTAGAAGTTGAAGTGCTCATTTAATGTCAGTGATGTGTAAACTACATTGCCATTGTTATTTTAGTGCTGATTTACATAATTGGCATACCCTGAAGTCACACTGCACGAACTTTCAGTTCATGCTAAAGACTTGCAGGAAGTCATAAAATTAAACATTATCTGCACTGGAATGCAAGGGATAAAGAACTCAACTTTTGAGGGATTTCACCTTGCTCAGTGTCCTCTCTCCCACTGTGTGCACGAGTGAGAATCAGGTTAGCAGTGTTGGGAGCTTTAGCAGCTTTTTAATTTCTCTGGTGCAGGTCCGGGGTGGTTTGTTTTGCTGCTGTGTACCTCCCTGGGTGAGCTCTTCATCCTGCAGGGACGCTTCACGGGAATGGCTGGAGTCGTGATAGGGAAGCCAAGGGAAGAAGGTCCGCAGGAGGAATTATTGCAGCCCAAATGTGCTGAATTCCTGTCTCAAATCGGTGTTCTTGCTACACTAAGAAGTAGCAAGTTGGAGGGGAAAGGCCGCTCCCAAAGGAGGAGCTGGTAATGGAGCTGTCTCAGTTGTTATTGCTCTCAGTCCTCCTCCGCAGTAATTCAAGGTGTCACAGGCTGGCTGTGCCTTTTGCAAATGAAGCCCCTGAGAGATATTGGGAAGAGGAGGTGGAGCACAGAGCACTTGCCTTGCCGGGAAGGCAGCAGGACCCCGGCTAATGATGGTGTGCCGATGGCTTGGGCTTTGATGAGGACCCTAAATTGCTAGGTGTCGCATACCTATGCAAGGGCCTGGCCCTACCGCAGAGCCCAGGCAGACAAACAAGAGACGGGGCAAAGGACACAGCCCTGCTCGCGAGTTACTCGTCGTGTCAGGAGATTTGCCAGCGTCAGGACAGGGATCGAGGGATGCACTTGGGATCGGGAGAACAATCGCGCTGGGCACGGACCCGCCTTCTCCACCCGTGCCAGCGCTGTCCTGCTCCGTGGGCGATGCCACAGCTGTCGAGGCTGCAGCCCGGGGAGCCCCGGCCCCGCGGGGAGCGCGGCTCGGCCCCGGGGCAGGTGCGGAGCCGCGGGCGGGCGGTTCGGGCCGGGGCCGCCGTTCCGAGCCGGGCGATCCGCCGCCGTTCCGCCACTGGAGGGCAGCCACATCTTAGAGAAACCACCCGGCCCAACCCCTCCGCCGCCCGCACGGGGCTGAGCCCGCATCGGATGCGCTGCGGGAGGAGACTTCTCCCGAGTCCGGGCACTTCTCTTTCGGAGAGGAGAGCGAGGAAACCCCCAGATTTCCAGCCCTCGCCCCCGCTCGGGCAGTGAGCTCCGCGCTCTGGTGGGGGGAGCAATGTAAATAAGTACATATATGTATTTTTTAAGTAGTTCCAGAGCACCGGGATTCTCCCGGTACCTTACGTGACCTTCGCACCTTACCACCCCGGCAGTCCGGGGCACGGCGTTAATCCGATTTGCGGCGGCGGAGCGCTCGGGCTGTACAATGGGTCATTGTTCGGCCCGGCCCGGTCCCGCTCCGCCACGGCCGCCCGGAGCGGGACCGGGCGGGCCGGGGGTCTCCCGCATCGGATCGGCCGCCGGTAGCAGAGTTTAACGGGACAGCCGCCCGCCCCATCCCTCGCCCCGGCGGCACCGCGACCCGGGCGCGGGCGGCAGCCGCGGCGAGGGAGGGAGCGGGCGAGGGAGGAGGGAGGGAAGGAGCGAGGGAGGGAGGCGGCGTCTCCTTTAAAAGCCGTGCGGGGCCGCAGCCCGCTCCCACAGGGCGGCTGTGATTGGCGCGGGCCCCCGAGCCTCCGGGGTCGTGACATCGCCGCGCAACAAAAAGCCCCGGCGGCGGCGGCGGGCGGCCACCCCCGGCCATGGTGCGGTGCGGGGCCGGCGGGGAGCCCGGCGCGGTGCCCTAGCGCGGCCGCTCCACGCGGGACGGCGGCGGGCGGCTCCCCACCCCTTTTTTTTTTCTTTTTTTTTTTTTTCGTCTTTTATTTACCCTCCTCCCTCCTTTTGCCTTTCTTTTTTAAGGGAGCGGAGACAAGTCAAGCTTCATCTTGATGTTGCTGCTGGAGTCTCGGTAAATGTCCATCTGTCTGATGAGCGTGATGCAAAGGACATTTTTTAAAAGGAGCCTTTTAACTCCGTAGACACGTAGGGACCCATTCACGGGCAGGCACACACACGCGAGGAGGAGGAAGAAGAAGAAGAAGCAACTTCACGATCGCTGCTTTTAAAAGGGAGAAGCTTTTTCCCTGGCTGGGACTTGCCTTCTGCCTCCTCAACCAGCTGCTAAAAGTATGTTTCCGAGGCGGACTGCACTTCAGGGAACTTCTATTTTCTGCTCGGCAGCTGTAGAGGAGCAGCAGCGAAGTTTGGAGTAACACCAAGTGATGCGGGAAAAACACCCCGAGAGCAGAACACCCTCCTGCAGACACAACCCCTGCTGCTGCACACAGGTATAGCTCCGGCGGTCGCAGATCCGCTGAAAGCCTTCTCCGCAGGATGACTCCGTGGGCCACGGCGGAGGTGCTAGCGCTCTGGAAGAGAGAGGGGGGACGGGACACTAATCATAACGATTATTACTGCTATAATAATCCAGCCCAAAGTTTCACGGGGGAGAAGGTCATCCTGTGGGTTTGGCTAAGGACGTAGCAGGATATGTACTTTCCTCCTTCCCCTTCTTCCACTCCGCTAAGGGAAGCAGCTCTCCTTTTCCCTCCGCTGAGGGAAGCCGCTGCCCCGCCGCGGGGGAAGCGGAGCCGGCCCCGAGCCCCCGCGGCTCGGCTCAGCGGGTGTGTGTCGGGGGCAGCCCGGGGGTCGGGACGGGAGCGCACAGGGGAGCTGGCTTTGCTGGGCAAAAGCAGCACCTCCCTTTCCTTCCCTTCCCGGTGAGCGGTGCCGGCCGCGGCGGCGGGAGGCCCGGCCCGGCGCACACCTGCGCCCCGGCCCCGGCGGTGCCCCCGGCCGCGTCCCCTCCTCCCCTTCACCTCCGCGCTCCTTTGTTGCGGAGCGCCCCGCTCCGCTTCCCCGTCCCGCCTCGCTCCCTTTGATCTCCTGCCACGGGGATTTCGGTGCCGCCGCGCACCTGAAGCGGCCCCTCGGGGGGCTCCGCCGGCCGGTCCGCGGCGGGGGCTCCGCCGGCCGTGGCCCCGCGCCCGGGTGGGTCCCACCTGCGGACCGTCCCCGCCCGTCCCCCCCTCCCCCGGCGCGGTGTCCGCGCTGACTGGCTCCCATCGCCTCCTCCTCCGCGCAGGTCGATCATGGTTGCCGTGACCCGCTCGCTCCTGGCGCTGCTGCTCTGCCAGGCGCTGCTGGGCGGCGCGGCCGGGCTCATGCCGGAGGTGGGTCGGCGGCGCTTCAGCGAGCCGGGCCGCGCCGCCTCGGCCGCGCAGCGCCCCGAGGACCTGCTCAGCGAGTTCGAGCTGCGCCTGCTCCACATGTTCGGGCTGAAGCGGCGGCCCAGCCCCGGCAAGGACGTCGTCATCCCGCCCTACATGCTGGACCTCTACCGCCTGCACGCGGGGCAGCAGCTGGGGCAGCCGGCGGCGCTGGGCTTCCCGCTGGAGCGGGCGGCCAGCCGCGCCAACACCGTCCGCAGCTTCCACCACGAAGGTACGGGCGGGCGGGGGCTCCGCGGGCTGCGGGAGCGGCGGGGAGGGCAGGGCCGGAGGAGGAGCGGGGGGCGGATTCCTGCAGCGGTACCGCGGGGTTCGCGCAGAGCATCTCCCGGCCGGCTGCCTGCCCGACGGGCTCTGCCGCGGAGCTCTTGCTCTGCCAGCTCCCTTCTCCCCGCTCTTGTCCGCTGGGCCGCTCCCGGTTTATTGACTTCTCCCGCTGAACCAGCGCGACTCCGCGTTAAGCGTTCCCACAGGTCGCCGCTCTCCTGCGGGGCTAGAAACAGGGAAGGCTCCCTAACGCGCGGCTGAGCCGGGCCGCTGCGGAGGTTTCTAATCCCGGTCTAATCCCCGTGAGAGATCAGTGAAACCATCAGCCGCGACATCCTGGGGGCTGCCGTCGAGGAGCGCTGCAGCCCGACCCGCCCGGGCTGAGCAGAGCCCCGCGGTGCCCTTGGCTCTCACCTGCGAGCCCTCCAGCAGCTCCTTGCGGCACCTCCCGAGGCAGCGGCTCTCGGTCAGACCCCCGCTCCGCAGCCGGCGGCGTTTCCCGGCCCCCGTGGCCGAGGCAGCGGCTGCGGCGTTCCCCGGGCCCGTGGGGCGCGTGTCGCTCACGTGCTGTTTTTGGGAAGGCTTCCCCAGGTTGTAATTGCTCCTGGCTGCGGCTCTCCGGAGCTGCCATGCAGCGGCCCCGCTGCTAAAGTAATGAAAAAGCGTTTTCCCACTGCTTTTAGAGTGAAACTGTGTCAAGAAAAGATAATAATTAGTTTTTAAGTTTTCCAAAGGCGGCGGCCTGTGAGAGGTGGATGTGCTGTTTAGTGGAAAACCTTATCGTGAGGAAGATGAATGGTGCAATCTAACCTCTCCGCATCCGCAAAGTAAAAACCTTTCCCTACGTGGGAAGTAAAAACCTGGCAGCTAATGGGGAAAAGCCAGCACGTGGGTCGTTCGTGTTAAACCCAAGGATTGTGGGCAAGGGGCTGAGTGAGAGAGGAGTTAAAAAGGCAAAGTTGATAAGGTTTAGGCAAATGTAAAAATCTGCATTTTGAAGTCGTCATATGATTACAGCAAAAGCAGATTCTGTTAGAAAATTGATGTTACAATTTTTTAAAAATTTGGAAGAAAATCAGTGTGACTCCCTTTTTCCACCTGAGTTCTCACTGCATTAGTGATTTCTTGAGAGCAGAAGTTTGTCTTGTGACCATTCAAAAATATTTGCATATTAGCAAATACTGGTCTGGTCCTGAAATACCATAAGGCTGAGATTTACCTTATGCAAAAATTTGTGCTGGATTCAAAGGGGAATGGTTACACCACTAAGAATTGCTAATAGCAGGTTTGGCTCCCCCTTAGAAGGTCGTTTTTTTCCCCCTTCAGTGTGTTTAGCACCAAAGTTAAAAACCATGACAGAGTTTTAGTTTGGGAAATACTTAACTTCTTAATGTCTGTAGCAATAATGTACTTAGCAAGCCTAGGTATATTGTACTCCTTCTGAAGCTCCATTCTCGTTACTCAGAGGTGGGAATGGCCCAGAGTTTAGTGACTCCTTGAATGTTTGGTTTTGGTAGTTTTATAAGCTTCTTGTTTGAAGGTGACTTTGTTTCATTATCCCTTTTCCATCCACCCCTATTTCAGCAGTTGAATCTTCCTGCTGCTCTTTATGGCCCTTTTGGGTAAATACTGGGACGTGCTTTGTAAAGTACCATTATGGGTGCTGATACATGATTTGTGTGTGATTAAACACACAAAAATTCATGCATTAAGATTTTTAGGTCACCTAAATTGCAGAGTAATGTTTTTCAGAATGGAGTTAAAGGGTTTGATGTTAGAGCTGCGTTCTTAGAAAAAATCAGAAATGCAACAGTTATCCAAAGTCCTCCACCAGTTTTAATAATTCCCCAGTGCCTGAGTTTTTCATTCATGTCCTTGAAGTCCAAATTAATGCTGTATAGTTCTTGCTTCTGATGATAACTACCTGGAAGGCAAGGGCCACCAGGACCCAATCCAATGTGTAAAATGAATGAAGCATTTTTAACTTCATGCTGTTCATGCTTGCACAAACAAACGAACAGGGGACACAGTATTTTATGCCTGAAAGTCTTTCAGGTCTTGTGTGTCACATGTGGTAGCTGTCATTTGAAAGCTGCCATCAGCAGACAGTCTTAAGGGGTTTGATTGATTGTCTCAGTTTCTGATTTTTTCCTTTTTTCTCTTTTTTTTATTTTCCCTGTTTAATGAAATTAGAAGTTTTGGAAGAACTTCCAGAAACGAGTGGGAAAACAGCACGGCGCTTCTTCTTTAATTTAACTTCCATCCCCAGTGAGGAGTCTATCACCTCAGCTGAACTCCAGATTTTTCGGAAACAGGTGCACGGAGCCTTTGAGAACAACAGCAGCTACCATCACCGTATTAATATTTATGAAATTATAAAGCCAGCCACAGCCACCTCTAAGGACCCTGTCACAAGACTTTTGGACACCAGGTTGGTGCATCATAATGCGAGTAAATGGGAAAGTTTTGATGTAACGCCAGCTGTTTTGAGGTGGATTGCACATGGACAACCTAATCATGGGTTTGTGGTAGAGGTGGTTCACTTGGACAAAGAGAACAGTGCCTCCAAGAGGCACGTTAGGATTAGCAGGTCTTTACATCAGGATGAAGATAGCTGGTCTCAGCTCAGGCCATTGTTAGTGACGTTTGGGCATGATGGCAAGGGACACCCGCTCCATAAAAGAGAAAAGCGTCAAGCGAAACACAAACAGCGTAAACGCCACAAATACAGTTGCAAAAGGCACCCGTTGTATGTGGACTTCAATGATGTGGGGTGGAATGACTGGATTGTGGCCCCGCCGGGGTATAGTGCCTTTTACTGCCACGGGGAATGTCCCTTCCCTCTGGCAGATCACCTAAACTCAACCAACCATGCCATTGTTCAGACTTTGGTCAATTCGGTGAATTCCAAAATCCCCAAGGCTTGCTGTGTGCCTACAGAACTGAGTGCTATTTCCATGCTCTACCTTGATGAAAATGAAAAAGTTGTATTAAAGAACTACCAAGATATGGTTGTGGAGGGTTGTGGGTGCCGCTAACGCAGCAAATATATTAGACAAATGCAAAAAAAAAAAATAGCTGACACTTTAATATTTCCCAATGAAGACTTTATTTATGTAATGAAATGGAAAGAAAAAAAACACAACTATTTTGAAAATATATTTATGTCTACGAAAAAGTTGGGAAAACAAATATTTTAATCAGAGAAATATTCCTTTAAAGATTTTAAATGTATTTTAGTTGTACATTTTATATGGGTTTAACCCCAGCACATGAAGTATAATGGTCAGATTCTTATTTTGTATTTATTTACTATTATAACCACTTTTTAGAAGAATAGCTAATTTGTATTTATATGTAATCAAAAAAGAAAAAAATATAGGGTTTGTACATAATTTTCCAAAATTGTAGCTGTTTCAATTGTGTGTATTTAAGTTGAAAAGAATACATGGAAGGTTACTATGGCAAAGTGCATAGCACATTTGCTTTCTGCTGTGCTACTGTTAAGGTCACAAGTTCAAGTCCAGAAAAAAGTGGATAATCCACTCTGCTGACTTTCAAGATTATATTGTACAATTCTCAGGAATGCTGCAGGGTGGGCTGTCCAATCCATGAGAACTGGCATCCTCTTTAGGTGGAACATTTGGATAAGAACCAGACATTGCTGATCTAGTATAAATACTGCTATTCCCAACTAATTTGCAGTGTGAATATAAGGGCCAATAGAAATCCTATGGGAGGTGGGGGTGGGGGGAAGACTGAATCCTTTCTAGACCTACAGAAAAGTGAATGTTTGATGTTTCCTTTAAAAGTCCTTCCTTTAAAAGTCCTGGCCAAATATGAAATAATAAAAACTAAAATGTCATCTTTTTTTGTGATTATCTATGCTAAAGAGGAATACTTACCTAATTTGTACGGGCCCTTGTCTTTAACAGTTGGAAAAGCCTTGCATACTTCCTCACCTCAGATGAGAGCTCACTTCTGTGGAGTGTTACAGTGAAATTAATCTGCAATTTTTGCCCTACATGCAGCAAGCTGTTGTCATATGCAGCCTCCTCTCTAACCTCAGCTGATGGTTTTGTTGTTTGGCAGATTAGCCTCTCTTCATTTCCAATGTTTTGTGTTGGAAACCTTTTTTTTTTTTTTTCCCAAATGTTTAAATCTATTTCGGATAATAAACCATAGAATTCTGATATTTCTTTCTGAGAAGTCCAGTCTGTAAGAAAAAATGGTTCACTTGTGCAGTCGTCACAATTTGTGCTTGCATCATTGTACTGGTTTTTAAATCCTTCATGCAAGGGGCAAAGTGGGATTTGCAGTAGGCACACAGAGCATTAAAGCTGGTCCCGACTGTGCCTGTTGCATGTCCCACAGCTGGTGTGGCAGGCAGAGCCTGGGGGTGATGTGTGAAAGTTGTGCTGGAACAGGAGAGCAGAAAGGAGCTGAAATCAGCTTCTTGGTCATCCCCTCGGGCTCTGTTGTGGGTCCAATTCTGGATTTGGTGAACTGTGGCTGCACTTCCTGAAGCCGTGTGTGCCATGGGCCCTGCAGGGACCTCTCTAAGTCAGCTGTGGGAATCTCTGATTTGGGCCTCCTGATGTTTTGTTAATGAACCCCTCTTTTTTGTCCTGCCCCTCCCCAAACTCCTCCTTTTGTTACCAGAATTATCTGGATTAGAGCAATGGTACTGACTGGATGGGTTGATCAGAAAGGCCAACTTGGTGATGCGTTACAGGTCCTCTTGTAGAACAATCCTTTACTGCTGTTCATCACAAAAAGCAGAGGGTACAGAGGATAGGAGTGAAAAACTACCTGTTGGCTGCTTCTTTTTTTTCTTGTGAGCTTAAAAATTTCTTGGGCTGTAAGGCCCTGTGGTGAGATAAAACTGATGCATTTCTTTGTACCAGCAGTGGTTTTAGCAGCTGCCAGAGAACAGTCCACCACTCTGCAGTTGGGCTCTGTTTAATTTTGAGAGGTAGCTGATGTTGGTCATGCTGATACTACATAGCAGCTGTGGGCTGGCTGGGTGGACATCTCCAGGTGCTTTTTCAAAACACTGGTGCTGTTTTGGTGGCTGATGTCTTTAGGGATGGATTACCACATGTGCAGGAGTTTGGTTTGCCTCTTGCCAGCTCTCCTGGTGCTGCATGAGTTTGTGGCGTTGCTTTGGCAAGGTTGTCAGGGCTGCAGTGGAGGTTCAGCAAGGATTTGGTGTTTGTAACGTGTGGGGTTGTGCAGTCAAATCAGAGCTGTGTTACTGTACTGTAAAACCTAAGCTTGAGGAAGCTGACAAGTGCTGGAAATTTAATGATGAGCATGAAAGGTGTGATCCCAACCCTGTGAAATTGTCAAGAACCCACAGCACTTCTAACCAGACCCTCAGCTCTGGTGCTGTAAAGCTGAAGTCTCACAGCTCCTTCATGTGTGACCAGACTGAGGGAGGCTCTTTACAGAGTGGTGACTGCTTTACTTCTCCTGTAAGGCATGAGAACTCACTGATGCTCATTTTGTTGCCAAAAATTGGCTACAGCACTTGTCTCTGCATGAGCAGGAGCTGGCTCGTGGCATGGTGCCGCATTCCTTGCACGGGCAAACCTGTGCTTGACAGGGAATTGCATCCTCAGTCAGATGCACTGGGAGGCCAATGGATCACTGCAAACTTGCTAAGGCCCACTCTTGTAAGCATTTCTGTAACTGCTCAGTGTTAGCCACAGAAGCATCGGTTCCATGCTGATTTTGAGGAGGAAATATGCAGGTGTCAAGCCCAGCACGTCCATAAATTTCTGCAGAACTGGTTTTGTAATGTACCTTTAAAGCCTTAACCTTCACCTCACTCTAGGTTGGAGGTGTGAGAGTGCTGCACTAAAGGCTTTGCTTAGGACTTAAAGTAAAAGGAACAGAACAAACTTTCACAGATGAGTAGTAGGAAGTTCTCCTAGAGATCAGTTGGGTTCCTGAAGTCTTTTAGATAGAGTTGATGATCAGACAGCCTTTCTGAAAGGTTTGGGCTTTCTGGCATCTTTTGAAAGTGTGGTAATGACTGCTAAATAATGCTAAATACTAAAGGTATGCTGTTAGCACAGCACACTAGTACTTACTTTAGTTCTTTAGTACTTATTAGTATTATAGTGCTCTACAAGGAGAAAAGAGCTTTTTTTCCTCTTAAGAGGAGAGAAAGGAAAATATTTTGAAGGCAAAACTGCCTTTGTTACCATATAGCTCCTAAACATTTTGCTTCTAGGCACTTATGATCTATATAGGCAGAGATTGTGATAGATAATGTCACCCTTTGTGCATTTCAGATAAGCATCTCTCTAAACACAAATGTGATCAGCATGTCTCCTTGTCCTTTTGAGACTCAGTAGCAGCTTTGTCGAGTGGCTTGATAATTTTTGCGCAAAATTCAGTTGGACTTCTGAGGTCAGCAGCATGTAGAGGAGGATCTTCAGTGGAGGTAAGCTCTCCCGAGAGCATTGGCCATGGCCAGCGAGCAGGGCTGCCCTGCTGGCTCCCCACAGCCAGCTGGGGACCCTTCCCTGCCCCTGCAGGCTTTGGGGGCCACATCCCTGCTCCCCGCCAGGCAGGTGAGGCTCTCACCCCACCCCTGAGGCTCAGACAGGAACGTGATTTGTTGTACTCTCAGCTGTGGAGGAGGAGCTCATCCACACTGCGTTTGTGTCAGACCCACTTTGCTACACTATCAGGAGGGTAATTATTGAGCTATTTCATTGAATGGTTACTCCTCAGTTGTTGATATTTTGGGGGGGTTTATTGATTTCAGGAGGCAGCTAATTGCCATGTGGCAGCTTGATGTTAATGTTTTATGAAGATCAGGAAACAAAAGTTTATGAAACAAAAGCTTTTGTATAGTAACTGCAGAGTTTCAAGAACTGTTTTATACTTCCTGACAGTGCAGGTCTGGCTTAATGGTTTGTTTTTATTGCTTAAGAGTGTAAACCTTTCTTTAGCCGATGTGTGGAAATTATATCCTCATCCCGCATTACGCATTTCTCATTGCTCATTACTCACTGCTGCTTTCATTGCTGCCATCTGTAATCAGAGCTTTACTGTTTCAGCTGCATGCTAAATGCTCCTATCCTTTGCACAGTAAGATACTTTTCCTTAGCATTCACCCACCCTGTCAAAAAAAGAAAAAGGTGGAGGGGGGTGGGTCAAAAGGAGAAAAAAAAAAAGGGACAGAAAAACCTACTCTGTCTATATTGTTTTTCTCTGTTTTGGGTGGAGTCTGTGTTAGATTCTGGTTGCTAGATGGTTTCTGTAGTAACAAGCAGAGTAAAATCCAAGCCTGAAAAGGCACTTTTAAAGGTGCCATATCTTGCCTGAAGTATTATTTATCTAATTATGGATATGGAATGTTTAGTTTCTCCTTTATATCAAGGCAAGCCCTTTTGGGAGGGCAGGCTGCTGCTATGAGAACTTGATATGTGATCTTAAAACAGGAGAACCACAAATCTTGTTCCCAGTTGACTTAAGCTTCTGAAAATAATAACAAAAAGGCCAAAGGCATTAAATGCATTTTTAAAGATTGCTACAGGCACAGACCACTTTGTTTTTTAGTTACATAGGAAGGGAACAAGAAGCTGAGTTCAGAAGGACACTTGGATTGTACGTGTTAGTGCAGTAAGGAGGGTGTTGGATACAAACAACAGTGGTTTGTTTTGTTAGGCTACTGTGTACAAGGAAAAAAATCCCAGCTCCTTCAGAATATGACTTTGCTGTACTCCAATTTTTTTGTTTGTTTATTTCTCCAAAGAGGTTTTGCAGGTGTGTGAGAAAGTAGGCACACACATGGTTACTGCTTTTGCCTTGCTGAGGGCACAAAAAGAATTTTAAAAGTATTTTAAGATGACTACTTTCCTGTCTCTCCAGTACTAATCCTTCATTACTTGTATTCCTGAGAGCCTTGCCTGCAACAAACAGTAATGGCTTCCTAAGGTGGAGTTTCCTTTTTTTGGAATCCCGTCACCTGTCAGTGCCCTCCAGGATTTAGCAGCCTTCTGTCCATGAGCCCTGTGAAATGGTCACTTAGAAAAGCAGCTACCCTGGCTTTGTCCTGGTTCTGTGTCCTTTGCAGAGGGGACTTTGTCCCAGCCTTCAGCAGGAATCTGACTTTGGGAGTACCTCCTGTCAGTACCTGGCAGCCTGGTTCTTGGCTCAGGAGAGGTGGCTTTGCTCTCCACAGCTGTTCTTGCACCAAAATATGCTTGGCTGCCTCTACAGAAATTAGTCCAGAGCCCCTGGGCAAGGTCTGCAGTGGAAGGGAGCAGATCAGTAGGGTCAGTTTGAAAAATTTCATTGGGAAGGTAGGGAAGTGTTAAAAGCTTCAAAGGGGACTTCAGGTAGGGAGGGCAGAGCAGCAAATTGATAACGTTATGAAAGTTCAGGTTCCCACAACAGCTGGACTGAGGAAGGTTTACAATTTAATGAGGCTGTTAATCCCATTAGAGATTAAATTAAGAAGGTTTTTCTGGGAGATCACCAAGAAAATTATGGGTATTGTACTGTAGCTTGGCTCATAATGCCAGGGCTGAATGTACTTCTTGCACTGCAGGACACTGTTTCATTCAGTGTGTCTCATTAAAACAAAGCCTCCAACTCCAGCAGCATTTCACTGCAAACAGAAGCAAATTATTATTATTATTTTTTATTGCTACTACTACTGCTGTTATTACTATCATCATCATCTTCCT